TCAGTTTTAACTTTAAATATTTAAAACGCATATAACAAAAATTATGATTTTTAATATTTAGAAACGTATAAAAATAATATATTATGTATAAATGTAATAAAATTAAATTTTGATAACATTTTTTTATATATAAGAATTTTTAGTGGTTAATATATAAAGGATGTTTAGGGAAGTTAAATGTTAAGAAGAATGTTAATGTAATCAAATTCATCTTCTTTTTTTTTTTTTATCTATGTGCTTATTATGTAAAGTAAATTTTCGGCTCTATTTTTGTTTTTTGTGTAGAAAATAACTATTCATTATGATTTTGCCATTTTTAAAAATATTGTTATTACCTAAAACAAAGGCGATAACACTAAATCACAAATTTATGATTTATTCAACAAATTAAAAAACATACATATATTAAAATTTACATGAAAAATTACTATAATTCAATACATAAGACAATTGATCGGTAAGCTCGAGAGGACGAGAAAGGCAACTACCCTTCAGGAGCCGTTCGTAGAAGACTAGAAGTCAATGTTATGTGATATCTTCTTGTGAAAAAATTCGAGGTCCAACTTCATGTTCCTTAGCAAGAACTCAACTCGTCCGTTTGGGTCTGGATCTACCGCCAAGTAAACGTTGCCACTAGTAAGATCAACTCTTGGCCTATACGACGGTCGCAAGGCGACGACGAAGATAGAAGCGACTACAACCATCAATAATGCGATCATGATGATTGAAGCAATTGCTTTCATATTAATTATCTTAGTACTAGAATTCATTTTCGAAATTCTATGTGCATAGATATTAGGTGCTAGAAAACTATATTTATAGGGAAGAAACATGCATTGAAAGAAAAATTATGCATTATTTTGTTATAGTCAAGTATTAAATATAGTTAAATTAGTAAAAAGATTTATCTTTTAAATTTTGTTTTTTTAAAGAAAATTTAATCCAAATCACGAAATAAAAGTTTCTTTCAAAATCTACGTTTCTAAGGTTTCTTAAATATCAAAAGATTCTAACTTGTAAATGTTATCGCTATATACTACTGAGATATAACTTCTTAGTTTGCCGGGAATGCAAAAGTTATATTTATGTATTATGCATAGACATAATAAAATTAAATACTTACTATCAAACATATGTTAATACCATTAGTGTTGATATTTTTATTTGTAAAAATGATCAAACCATATACAAATGTTATTTATTTCAATATCTTTAAATGTAAATATCTCATTATATCTTAATTAAGTTTTATGTTTTTGTTAAGATTTATAAAAATGATCAAAACATTAAGCCTTTGCATTTTTGTTTGCTTAAATTTATTTTGTGTTTTGCTTATATTTTACTTATGTTTTGCACGAAATTTTTTTCCAATTTTATTTCATTAAAAAAAAAACTGTAAAAAAAATCAATTAGAAAAAAAGACATGATCTATATGCTTTGTCAAATTGTCACTAAACAAAAATAAACTATGATTTTTTTATATGATTTATCATGATCAACTATGCATACATTATATATATGTCATGATAAAATTTATAAATTATTTTTTAATCTATCTTTATAGTATGATT